TAATGGGTGTGTAACGGGTGTGTAATGGGGTGTGCCATGGCGTGTGCCAGTCATGGGGTGCGAAGCAAAAAGTTGCTGCTTGTGCTGAAACTTCTTGACGGATCGCTTGGGAATCAAACAAGTACTGTAACCGGACGGTTTTGAATCGACAGAATAGTTCAGTCGGATGCATCCCGTCACCACTACCGGAAAAGAAGAAAGGTCCAACAGCCTGGAGCGCGCGACGCCTAGCGTGATGGCCTGGAAACACCCACCGACAGACCTTTTTCTGCTGCTACAGCATGCGTCGAATGTTTAAGGATAGAATAGAAGTCCAAGCTATGTACTGTAACTAAGAAATATGAGACCAGTAGCTAAGAAGTCTGAATCGGGTCTCCGGGGTGATTTTATAGCCCCCCGCGAGGCTCCGCTAGCCTGTAGGGTAGCGGAGTAACAGCTAGCAGACCAGCCAACGTAGGGTTACCGAAAGCTGATTTTCGACCTCGCAGACGGACCAACCTGGACAGTACATTCGGCTATAATCCTGCGGTGCGCGTATTCTCTGCTTCAGGTTCTGACCAAGTCTTAAGGCTACAAAGGTGAGAAAGACCGCGCGTGATACAGCTGCGCCGCAACTGACCAGGCTATCAGAGATGCTATTCCTCGACGACCTGGAGAGGCACGGCCAGCTCCAGCCGCTGGCGTCGGTAGTGCTCACATATTCGCATGATATAGCGGGAGAGACTGTATACGAGTGGATAGATCATGAAGATAAATCGTCTGACTGTTGGATGGCGCAGAACGGGCGTATTTATTTGCGCGCCGACATAACGTCGCTTGCTCTAACCGAGTTCTTCGATTCCGAGGTCGTCATATGTCGTGAGCAACAAAGAATTCTTTATATCCGGATAAAGCAATTGAAAGACAAGCACAGCCGGGAAACCAATCAGCTCTGGATCGAAACAAATGGCGTCGCTGCATTGGCGGGAGAAGAACACGTAATTGTTTAGCAGAGTGAAATAAATTAACGAGCCATCTGGCATTTAATGATTCTGCTCTGTGCTCTATACTATCATATGAGGCCGCATAAAGTCTACGGCTTCTCTTCGTTCCAGCCAACTGGGTCTCGATGATCGCGCGGTCGCAATCCTGGCCGCTTCAGATCGATTTAATCACTATTATAGATTTGGGTCATCTTGACCTGCAACTAGAACCGCCCGAAGATCCAGCTCAAAGTTGTTTTTCTTTCATGTTTGACCGTTCGGAAAGACCTTTCGGCGAAGCTCGTATACCCAGGGCATTCGACGGCCTATAATGAATGCTGAATCTGTTATGATAGCCCTAATCATTCGATGTCCGGCAAAACAGTCTGCGATTCCATTGCTCGCCACAAATTGACCATGGTTGGACTGTCCAAGTAAGTCAGCACTGAATAAACAAAAGCTGTGACATAGGGCGCGGCAGTGGAAAATTTACTTACGGTTCAAGTCTAGTGACTTTGCGGCGTTTGTGGAGGCAGAAGTCCGTGAATCGTTGTACAGTCTTCTTGTCGTCAAAAACCACCATTACTACTCTGTTTTCGGGAGCGCTGGACAAGCTCTCCTTTAGAATAATCTTCGCCCTCCACGATTCCTTGCTCACTTCGACTTCTTTCACGTCTTTCCACATGACGTCAAATCGAATGAGACTGGGAGCTACCCATTCTGAAGGACCCTGGCGTTTGACTCGGTACACCAAGCATCCGTTTTCCTCTTCCCAGCTCCAACACTGGCCGAGATGGATAGGGCTCGTGAATTGCGCTGTCTTGATTTGGCCTATTCGCCAGTCTTCCCACACAATAGAGGCGCCACTCTGTGATTCGGCATCTGAATACTCCAGAAGCGGGGGCTGATCTGCCGCTTGAACTTGCCGTGGAGGATCGCCCTCGTCGCGATGATTGGAGGCAACGACGATGCTTTCACCAATTTCGGCCTCATACTGTCGGTCTCGGACCTTGCTAGAGCCTCTCCGGCGCCGTTCGCTGCTTGCAATCTGCCTCGTGTCACCTGATGAAGGGCATGCACCGTTATGAGCTGGCTCAGGCCCATCCATACAGCAAAGGGTGGGAGATTGCACACTTTCGGGTAGAGCGCTGGCTATCTGCGGGGGATCACTTGGGGTATAGTCCTTAACGACCGGTCCAACTAATGTGTTGACTTGTGATAGAAAGGTCGTAAGAACGGCCACCAACTGTGTCTCGTGTGCGTTCTCGGCATCTTGCAGGCCGTTCTCCTCGAGCATCCTCTTCTCGCCAGCATGTCGTATGATGTCATCTCTGATGGCTTTCTTGTTGCTTTCGGCTAGTGCTGGACTGCCATATCGTTGGAAAGAATTTTCGAGGTGTGTCACAATCTTCTCCATCTTTTCTGCGAAGACAGCTGCCGGAGGTTGTACACCATTCATCATGGCGGAGGCATGAATAATCAGGTCTTCTACCTGCCTCAGCACTTGTCGTGCCGGCAACGAGGCTTTGGTTATTGAGTCCGTAGCGGTAGCAATCTCCATCCTCGCTCGCAAATGCTGAGGTGTCGGGGAGCTATTTTCGTTGCGCTGGTTTCCGGAATTTTTTCCTGTTCTGTGATACTTGCGCGAAAGGAGTCTTCCACCGCTCCCGGGCCAGTGTGTTTCTGAAGGTGTGAAACTCTGTTGGCGAGCAGCGCTTAGCGCGTACCGGACCTGACGAGACGACGGTGCACCATTTCCTCTGATGGGACCTCGGCGCGGTTGCTGTTGCCCTGCCGATAAGGTTTTATTTAGCTCTTTTACAAATGCTTCCCAAGGAGGCAAAGGATCACTCGCTTTCACCAACAAGTTCCATGTGGTAACCGCCGCGCCGTTGAGTACTTTATGTACCAACGTGATTTCCACTCCAAATTTCGCAGCGATCTGCTTAGCACGCTCCTTCTCATTGGCCATTGCTAGAGGCACTGGTTGTCTTGACTTGTGATTGATTGGGAAGTATGTGATGTTGAGGTCAGAGAATGACGCCGGCACAGATTCTCATCAGTGTCGTGCTTCTCGCTTTGTTGAGTGAATTGGTTGTTGAATTATTTAGGACACTCTTGTGCTGAGCCTCGAGTTTTAATAGTAGGCGCGAAGCTTAGCACAGAGTCGACTCGCTATACAGTCGCCTGTTAGTGGCTGGCTAAGCCGCGTTTTAGTGCTGCGAGGAGTTTAGGCAGTCTGGTTCTGCGTCGCGCCAAGCCTCGCGCCCGTCCGGTTTGGCGTGATGTACCCTGCCAAAGCGCCTATAGCTTGTAGCATCAGCCGGGCCTGACAAGGTGCCATAATTTTTAAAGGTCCAACATATTTACCTAGTACGGGCGAAATGGGTTCAGAGTTTTTTTTTACCCAGCAAACCCGAAATTGAAGGGCCAACTCATCATACGCTTTCGGCCGGCCGTCTACATTGTAGCATGTGAAAGAGTCTCTTCAATCGGTTTGTTTTCTCTATGGCTTATCTATGAGCGAAGGTAAGAAAATTGGCCGTGCCACGCCACCACAAAACCTACAAGCTTCCACAATGCTACAAGCTGCCAGGGGCTTTTCTGTTTCTTTGACTTCTTGAAAACATGCAGTACTGTACCTAGCCTGGTGTGCCTACAACACGCCCCGGGGTGCCGAGGCGGCCTTAGGCGCCTGGATTGCTTACCAATATGATTGCATTTAATTTGAATATTTTAAATAAAAAATGTGATTGGTTTTTTTTTAAAAAAAAGGAATGAGAGAAAGGAGGGGGGTGCAGTACCTGGCATCTTTAGCAGCGATGAAAAGCAAAAAAGGACTTTCTGGCGCGGTTTCTCTTTTCGCGCCGTATTGCCGACGCCTCCGGACGTACGCCCTCCTCTTCAAACGCCCTCTTCTTCAAACGCCCCCCTCTTCGAACGCCTTCCTCTTCGAACCCCCCTTCTTTGAATACCGGTACACTCCTCTTTAAACGGCCTCGTCTTTAAACGGCCTCGTCTTAAAACGGCCTCGCCTCTAAAAAGCTCTCGTGCTCAAAATTGAACGCCCCCTCTCTGAACCCCCTTATGTGAACCCTCCTACCTGAACCCCCCTCCTTGAACGCCCTTTTTTTAATGTACGGCTGCTTTGCGCTCCCACATTGCTGAATTAACGTCTGTACCTGGCAGACGGTCAAACTTTTTTGTCCCTCCTACGCCTTGAAGAAGTGGGAAGTAATGCCGTCCTGCTTTGTTCTCTGATTTTGTCTGATTTACTTTTTCTTGAGCTACAGTGGCTTTTCCACGCTTTGTCTGCCGAGCGATCCAGCGAACTCCAAGACTTTCGTAGACGCCAACTGTGCACCCCATGGTTACTATGCGCCTACGTGGCTCGTTAGCTGATGGTCGAAGAAGGATTCCTGCTTTGCACACCTACTGCAGCCCTGTACCGCAATTAATGCCCATATTGATCCACCTGTAGCGCGGTTCCTCGCACGTCGGCTGGGCTCCCTGGTGCTAGTCTGTCCACCATGGGCATGATGCTCGACCGGAGTTGCTTGCCCGGAGGCTGCTAGATCCAACGGTTAACAGGCTACCGGTTTGTTCCCCGAGAGTGACAAATACCAATAAGGCTGCAGGGGTCGGAGGAGGATTCGTGCGGGGTTTGTTCGCCTGCCTAATTAGGTTCAATCGACCGCTGAATAGGCCCATGCCGCATGAGATTCCCCTCAAGTGACAGAAGTGTCCGGCCCGACTCGGAAACGGCCCGCCGACCATTCAACATTCCCCGACCTGCATGATTCAGAACGGCAGGGGCTGCAGTTCCACCTCGTATGTTTATCACAAGCCAGCTTTAAGAGTAGTCCTATGACAGCCAGTGAAAAACGGTCGCCAAGCGCCGCTGCACGAGGGGGGACTCCGGGAATTCACGTCTGGGTTTCCGAATCACCGCCAAAAGTACCCCAGATCCACTATGGGCTCGTATCTGCAACGCTGCCTTGGTCAGTTTCGACACATCACATCAAAGTACACAGACAGGCATGGCGGCGCCGATCCTATCACTTGCTCAGCGAGTGGGTAGCCACCCACTAGCGTTGCAAAGCAAAATAGCTCTTATCGCGGCAATGAAAAGGGCTGCAGGAGGAGGCGCGCCTTAGAATAGGTAACAGTCGACAGCCAACCAGCCAACCAGCCAACCAGCTAGCAAGGTGATAGAGTTTTTCGGCAAAGACACGCTTTTTACACTTAGAATACAGTAGTACTTGCTTTTTGTAACTTACATTTCGTCTTCTACTGAAAACCTTGTTTCTTATTCACGCAACTCTCAAATCGCGGCTAAATCATGTCTATAGAGCTGCCAGGGCCGGAAGCTTGTCGAGACTCAAAAAAGAGGCTGCAGAGTGGAGTCACGATGTGCCTTAATTAGTATAAAGTCGAACTCGTCAGACGGCCCAACACCAGCTGGCTGCGGGAAAGCGAAAGCCGCTGTCCGCCCAACTATTGACGCAAGGGTGGAGCAGCTCATGCGCGAAAGCGGGACTTTTCGTACAGATTGCCCATTTTGGAAACGTTTCCCGGAGGTCGTACCGCATATACGCATCGCCAACAATTCACGCGCGGTTGTGTGCGATTGTCTGCTTGGTCAACCACCGAGTTGCAGCCATCCCAAGCACTCCTGTTGTGGCGGCGCCTTCGCTCGCTTACATGGAACTGCAATTTTCCCGTGAGCCCACTTTGATGCAGCAAAGACCCGCTTTGAGTGAGGCCTTTTTCCACTGGTTACCGAGAGTCTGGTAACGAATACTATTGGCTCTCAAGGTCACTAGTGAGGGCACCGACGACGACGGAGTTCCAATTGAAGTGGGCACGTTGCACGACAAGTTCATTACAGCCCGAAGGAGTGTCTGCGGTGATGAAGGGCCACTCGTTCTGCTGTCCTACTGGTGATTAAAAACACACCCTTTAGCAGTGACGGGACTCTGGTCGAGGGCCCAAGACCGTTCGGTGAGGATCCGCACGGCTGAGCGGAATTCGCATCCGTGATGGCCGCAAGCCTTGTCAGAAGGTCAAAAAATCGCTGCCGAAACCCGTATCGTTTGTTCTCATGGTATGGTTCGATCGTTTATGTATACATCGACGAAACGGTGTCAGTTTAAGCCGTGGAGAGGATCGGTGGGCACCGCGGCGAACTCCTATGTATGATGCTAAGGGCGCCATCGGTCTGCGGACCCGCGGGCGCCCGCTGTCACGCGGTAAGTTCCATCGTTGACCATCCCAACAAGCTTAAGCGAGGCTAACATGGAGCTATGCAAAGTTGCCCTCCGGAACCCAGCGTGCAAAACGGTTCAAGGATACTTTTGATCACGCAATGGAGTACCTCGGCCGTAACTTGCCTCTCATGCCTC